GCGCCGCCGTGATTGGCGCGGCGGTCGGAGGATTGAGATCGGACGGTGACGAAGAGAGACGAGGGGACGAGAGAAGAAGCCGCGGCGAAACGGATTCTAGAGAGAGAAAGTGACGGAGAAAGCAAACGAGCCATCTAGAGAGAGCTTTTTCTGTTCGACGGAAATAGGAGAAGATATGTTGTCTTTCGCTGGATTCAAACGGATAAGGGGAAAGGACACTTTCCTAAAAGTTTTATTTTCCGGGAAAAAAATATTAGACTTTATACAACAATTAAAATTTTTAAAATAAGAATATTTTATTGACATTATATACAAAATACAGACATTATCAATAATATAAATAATAAACTAATGATGTAACAATCCCTACCCGACCCGCGGAGAAAGAATTTTCCAGTGTGCTGGGACAGGTGGCATGTGAATGCGCACATTGATTCTTAGTTATTTTAATTAAAACAATTATGTTTCTGGATATTAATCAAAGTATTTCAAAGTAAGACTATTAACTTTAATACCTAAAACCTCAAACATTTGTTTTACATGTCACTCTACAATAAGTTCTTTGTTGTTGCGTCCATTTATCCAATATTAAATAAATTAAGCTTGGTTAATGGTTAAATTAAATTCACATTTTTTTTCTAAAAGGTGGACAGTTGTTCTATTTTACTACGCAAACTTTCATATATTTTGTTAATTTCAATATAGATAAATATTTCCTCTGTTTAAGAATATTTCTTTCTAAACGTTTTGTATTCAAATTAAGTTAATTTAATCCTGGAAAAAAATACTCAGCAATCACATAATTACATTCTGCATTCAAATTTTCACATATTAAAGGTACAATAAAAAAAACATGTTGGCCCCTGCAAAAAAAAAACATATGTGACACACTAGAACACGACGCCGTATCGTTCTTCCTTGGACACTCCAAAACTCCAAACCACAACGTATTAGAGCTCGGCCCGCAACGGTTCTTCGCCGGAGAAGATCTTCTTAACCGTCTCCGCCGTGGATCTGGCGGCTTCGTCCACCGTCTCTTTGCTCTTCTCAAAGCTCTTCGCCGCCGCTTCTTTCACCTTCTCTCCCGCCGTCGACGATCCACCGCCTCCCGTCGCCTCCCCTTTCCCGCTGAAACTATACCTAGACGATGATTCTTTTTATATTATCACATATGAGATCTGTACTAGTGAATTGACGATGACCGTTCCGACCAGGAAAACCAGTTTGTCGGACGAAACACGGTGACCGTAAAGATGTCGAAACAGGATTCAGGAGAACGACGGGAAGAACTCACTCGATTTTGGGAGGAAAAAAGTACGAATGCCCACGACCCAACGTCTCCGCGAGCTTTGCCCAGTAATTTCGAGAAGACTGTCCGATTCTAGACAGCCAAAACGGCGCCGCTTTCTCCTCCGGCTCTGCTCTTGGGCCGCTATCTCCTGAAACAGCCGAGAAGACAACGAGGACGATAAAAGAAAAAACGCAGAGAAGGTAAATTTTGTCAATGATCTTCAACTTCGTCGCCATTTTTCCCTCCCTCGCTAGAGTTTTGTGATTGGACTCGGGGAAAGGGGAAGAGATTCTTCCGGGAGGGGAGAGGATGAAGATGTCACGTGGTGAGGTGACAGTTGGACACGTGGATAAGTCGTGTACACGTGTCCGTCCTAACATCCTCGTCGCTTTTTCGGTTTTCTCCACACAAAAAAAACACACACACACATATCAGACCGGTGTATGTTTCTAATAAACCGAACCTGTTTGGTTTGCTAAAATTATGTTCGACGAAATACCAAAATCCCAGTTTGGTTCTGCGTTATTCATACCGGAGTGAAATCCTTATCTGTATGGTTTATATATATAGAGAGAGATTACAAATATTCAAAATTATAAAAAAGAATTCCTGTTTTAAAAGTAATAAATAAAAATTTAGGATGTTATGAGTCGGAAAGAATGGTGTGACCAAACAATCATTTATTATTAATTATACGTATTTACTTAACTTAAAAGGAAAGGTTTTTAGTACAGTGATCCAAACACAGAGATGAACCAAAAATCTAAATCTAATTGAATTCAGATAGCGACAGGTCTAAATCAAATCACCAAATAAAATAAAAATATTGCATGATAACAGATAATCCGGAATTAATGTATTCCGGTTTTTTTATGAAATATATTTTATGATAAAAATAATAATAATAATAATCACTTTCGTTAAAGATTATCTCGTTTGTCGTATGTATCCTCATCGAATTCATGTGCTTATTAAGAAGATTAAATTGTGATTGTTTTAGACCATAAAATAAAGAAATTTCATTGCATCCCAAAACAACAATATCATTTTTTATTTTCCGTACTAAAAAGAGTCAAAATAAATTTTATCGGCAACAACTAATTAATGGAATAACACACCCCTTGTAAAAATATACTCTTGATCGGAGACGCATTGACGAGTTTATACAGAAAATTCAAGAAAGAAATCTTTCCAATGTGGAAATGTTAAGTGCAAGGAAACCAAGCTGGTAATGCTAAACATCTTTTAACAAAATTGTAATTTTTAATTATAAAAAAAAAATCCGTAAATTCCAATTTTTCACCTGCAAAACTTTGATTAAGACAGTACAACCGACTAACAGAGTTGTCCGTTCTTCTTCCTTTCTCCCTCACAGTTTGGTGGCCAATTATAAAACAGAAAAAGGTTAAAAACCTTGGCTCTTTTAGAGAGAGAGAGCTAACCAGCTGGTGCGGCTCCAAGAGATCGAGATCGAGATCGGGATTCACACGCAGAGGGGGGAGAGAGCCATGGTGATGGGATCTCGGCTTCTCCAGTGTTGCTTCTTGTGCTGCCACTCCGACAACTGCTTCTACTTTCCCTGATAATTTTCTCGGCTTCCATATAAGAGCTACATTTTCACTCCCAGGTACAAATCGATACCGTCTCTTGTCATTTCCCTGCCTGGAATCCTCGCGGTTGATCATTTGGTCCACTTTGAGATTTTCTGGCGTTTTGGGTTTTCGTCTGGTACACCATCTTCTGGATTTTTAGGGTTATTTTCGGGTTTCGATAGTAATCGCAATCTAGGTTCCGGTTTTTACTCTTTTGAGCTTCTTCTCTTTACTTTCTCTGATTTTACACACAAACTGCTTCTAATTCTCGAGATCCTGCTGGGTCCGATACAATTGGTATCTGGGTTTCAAATGGTGAGTGGACTGATCATCCACGACTCTTGGAAATGGTCATTAGGGTTTTGGTTTTGTTCTGACCCAGACCACTGTATTCTCTATACTTGTTCATGGTTCTTTTTCATCCGTGCGATTCATGGGAATGGTTTTTCATGATTCTTGATAGTGTGATTCGAAAACGGAGCTATAGAAGTTTCTGGAATGCCCGTTCGATACGAAAGCCTCAGTGAGCTTGAATCTGTTCGACTGAGAGGGTGGTGCCTCATTCTAGGCTCAATGTAGACAGTGCCTTAGAGCTTTAAATTTCGAGTTTTTCATCGTTACTGTTTTTATACTCTCGTTCACACAGTACAAGTCATCGCGGAGAAACTTAGGGTATCCATTGACGATTAATGGCCCGTTGAAAATTGTATTGCTGGTATTCAAATGGTGGTTCTGGTTACTTTGTCCATGAGATTGGGCACTGGATTCGGATTTTAGATGCCACCATCTGGGTTAATATGGAAGCAATGAGTGGGTTAGCATTGTTTTATTCGCGACAACTTCTCTCTATGTTTTGTAGACATTTTCTTGTTTTTGATCCACGGCCGATAGTTTCGGACTTGATACCAACTTTAAGATTGTATGAACCTTCAAATTCATGACTTGGGGTAAACCATCTGATGTGTAAAAGGCCTCTCAGTAAAGCAAGTCTGTAGCCAAATTGGCAGAACTCGAATTATCTTCCTGATGTTTGTATGGCTTGGCCCTGCATTAGGCAGAAGTTGAATCTTCAAATGTTTCCCAGGTAGTTACTAGACATTCGTGGACTCAGGACTTTGACGCTCCTTAAATTCCATTTTGATTATTGTATTTCCCTTCTATTTCTATGATTTTTGCAATCTGACCATTAACTTTCTTCATTAACTCAACACTGTCTGTTTCTATGTACACGAACCATATATCTTGGTGGCTTTCTCATTTCTTCCTGTTTTGTTCGTACAGGACTTTGAAATCTTTAGGTCAGCATATTGGATTCGGTGGTCGTTTTGTGCCTTATTCTGGGTTTTCTCGAAAAAATTAAATGGGTTCAAGATACCCGTCTCACCAGCTCAGCAATGGCCTATTTGTTTCTGGTCGGCCGGAGCAGCCCAAAGAAAGGACTCCAACAATGAGCTCAGTAGCCATGCCCTACACGGGTGGTGATATCAAGAAATCAGGGGAATTGGGGAAGATGTTTGATATGTCAGCAGATGGGACTAAATCAAGGAAGTCTGGCCCCATACCTGGTGCTCCCTCAAGGAGTGGCTCATTTGTAGGGGTTACACAGTCTGGTTTGAATGTGCCTAATGCCACTGGTCGTCTGTCTGGCTCGTTAGGTTCTGCTGGGCCAGCTTCAATGAAGAAAACAAACTCTGGACCTTTATCCAAACATGGGGAGCCTTTAAAGAAATCATCCGGCCCACAATCTGGTGGTGTAACACGGCAAAATTCTGGCCCTATACCTGTGCTTCCAGCCACAGGTCTCATAACATCTGGGCCCGTTACATCTGGTCCTCTGAATTCCTCTGGGGCACCTAGGAAGGTTTCTGGTCCGTTAGATTTTACTGGCTCGATGAAGACACATATGTCTTCCGTTGTACACAACCAGGCGGTAACGACCCTTGGCCCAGAAGATGACTTTTCTTGTATGAAGAGCTTCCCAAAGCCCGTGCTGTGGTTGGTTGTTCTTATATTTGTAATGGGGTTCCTTGCTGGTGGCTTTATTCTTGGAGCAGTCCACAATCCAATCCTCCTCATTGTTGTGGCTGTCTTGTTCATGGTGGTTGCCACACTTTTCATTTGGAATATTTGTTTGGGGAGACGTGGTATCACAGACTTCGTTTCTCGTTATCCTGATGTTGATCTTAGAACTGCCAAAAATGGTCAATACGTGAAGGTCACTGGGGTAAGTATCCAAGCAGTACTCGCGTGGTTTTTCTTGTTGCTACTTTAATTTAACGTGTTATTTTTCATTCCATGGGAATGCAGTCTAGGATTATAGGATAAATTATATTCAGGTCGCTCTGATAAGAGGCTGCAGTTCTTTATGCATTTGGGAAAAGTGTTTACTATCTAATAAAACAGACTGTATTATTGAGCTAGCGGAACAAAAGTTAGCTATCTGTAACTTATTATGGAAAAAAGAGAAATTGATCAACGGCATTCAGCTCTCGGGATGCATTTTGAATCTCTTTGGCATGCATGCTCTGGTTGTGACCTTGCTTCGGTTTTTATTGTTGAAGGTGGTCACCTGTGGTAACGTGCCGCTTGAATCATCCTTCCATAGAGTTCCCAGATGTGTGTACACGTCTACCTGTCTGTACGAATACCGTGGATGGGGTTCAAAGCCAGCTAATTCTACACATCGCCGTTTCACCTGGGGACTGAGATCAGCTGAGGTTAGTTGTCCGAATGTCTTTCTCGTTTTTTCAATCCTTACCGTGGATGGGGTTCGAAGTGATTATCTTTAGTATTCATTTCATAGATTATGCTCTTTGTCCCGTGATTCGTCTCAAAGCTTCTTACCTGAACGGCTCAATACATAAACGTTTTCTCCTGTTCTATTTGCAGAGACATGTTGTGGATTTCTACATCTCTGATTTCCAATCGGGTCTGAGAGCATTGGTCAAAACTGGGAATGGTGCCAAGGTCACTCCTCTTGTCAATGATTCTGTTGTCATCGACTTTAAGCCTGGAAGCGAACAAACCTCCCCTGACTTTGTTCGGTGGTTGGGCCAGAAGAATCTGTCTAGTGACGATCGAACAATGCGGCTTAAAGAAGGGTAAAGAATAGTCTCTCCTAATATATACTTGTCAAATAGCTTAGAAAATAAGAGCCTGTGTAGGTGATATAGACTAAACTCCGTAAGTCAACAGTTAGATACTATATTCTTGTAAAAAAGAAACCAACAAGTGTAAGATGCATTCCATGGCCGACCCTTTAGCTGCTGCAACAAGTTGGAGTATTGTCGGGCAGGTAAGACAGTGATTGATGGTGATCTTAGCTTGGAGGTACTCAAATGATAATGTATTCAGGTCTGAACGTTGTCTTCTAAAATGTGTTGAGGACTCTAAAACAGGGTTGGGAATACATTTTTCAGGTATATGAAAGAAGGAAGTACAGTGAGTGTAATGGGGGTTGTGCAGAGAAACGATAATGTGCTGATGATAGTGCCACCGGCTGAGCCACTGGCAGCGGGTTGGCAATGGAGGAGGTGCACATTCCCAGCTAGCCTGGACGGGATTGTATTGAGATGTGAAGACTCATCTAACGTGGATGCCGTACCCGTGTAGTAGTTCTTTCTCTTCGTCCAGTTGGCAGGTGAAATCATCCAAACACTCTCTTGGGCTCGGTTTCATGGCATTTTTCTTTGAATCCGGGGAATGTTCCTTGGTGGGTTTTGCTTTGCTCTTACCTCTTGGTGATGGTGATGGTGATGGTAAAGTTAGTGAGTTTAGGATGATGGATGTGGGTTTCTTCTAAAGATGAGTTCTTGTCTCTCTCTCTCTCTCTCTGTGTTTTTTGGTTTGTGTATAGCAGAGCTCTTCAAGGCATTCTTTATTCTCCGACAGAAACTTGTGTCTTCTTCTCTCTAAAGGGTGTTTTTTTCTTTTGTGAAAACGAAGAAACTCTCTTTGTGTGTTCTTTCCAAACATATCTTGTTATACGGTTTGTTTTGTGCTCATTTATTTTAAGTGTTCTTCCTGTGTGATTCTTACAGAAATTGGTCAGGAAGAGTGGCAATTTTGTAATTAGTCGTATGAGCCTAAGGTTCTTAACTCTTTCAGAAGTAATCATGGGCTTTATACTTGTAGGCCCAAATATTTTCATATCGGAGGGTTTTAATTTTGCTATTTATTCTTCCTCCGAAAATATAAAATGATTTAAATAAATGACAAAAGTCACAAAATTGTGTCTTTTTTTTTTTGTATTGATCCAAAAGCCCATCATGGCATTTCGTTTGGTTCTTTGCGAAAATTTAAAAAATAAAAAAAATCGAGCGCATCATATAAATTATGAGCTACCGACCACCATTTTCGTATTATATATATATATATGTATATACATATACATATATATATATATATATATCAATTTGTTTTATGTACCGTACGTCGTTGCTTTTGTCTTTATTTCAGAAAATTTTAATTGATTATGACTGCCTCGTCACTAATTAGTTGGTCCATTGGATCCAATATTAAAATTACGTCAGAAAAATAAAAAGGGTACCCACTACGCAATATTTAACAATATTATCGATTTTATAACTGTTTCTTGTAGAAACTATTTTATATTTTTACTAATTTATTGTTAATGCGTATATTCTCATGTATTTTACTAATATCGTAATGAAAACCATTTATTTGCATGGTAATAAACAGGTTAAAGTAGTATGTTACGTCTCGATTAATCTTGAATAATAGGGAGTAGAAAAAGACAAAAATAAAAAAATATATATATATATATATATGAATGAAATAAAATTAAAAAAGAAAATAAAAGTAAGGTGGAAGAAAAGGAAGGGAAGAGGGATGGGGATCTAACGTTGAAGATAACTGAGCGGAAGATATTTGGCGACGCAGAAGAAACAGACACCTTTCTTATCTCTCTTTTATTATCCTCTCCTTCTCCCATGGCGGATAAATCGATACTTCTCCACACGCTTCTCTTCTGCTTCGTCTCTTCTTCGGCTTCCGATCTCTAGCATTTCCTCTTCTCTCTCCTTCCGATTCGATCCTCTTCTCTTCCGGTCAGCCATGGCTA